CTTTAAAAACTTTTATTATAATAGATATCTTCTTTTTTTATTAAAGATATTCTATTAGATCTGCTTTTATTATATTATCTACAGAGTTATCTCTACTAATCTTTATCTACTCAATCTTATACTAAAGTCTTGTAATTTCTAGTCTTATATAAGTTTTCTTACTCACTGAGCTATTATTATTCTAATTATTTAAACTCTCTGTATTATCTAATATCTCACTGATATCTTTAATTAGATCTTTATATTTCTTATTGAACTTATTAAACTGTTTCTCTGTAATTATTTCTCTTAGCTTCTCAGAAGCTATCTGTTAATTTATTATTAATATTAATAATAATCTATGATCTTATATCTGCTATTCTAATGTCTTCTTATTTCTCTGTCTTGAAGATATGTATTCTTTTATTAAGTCAGACATTTCTCTGAATCTTAGATTAATTATAAGTTCAATTACTTATAAAAAACATCTAGATATATGTAATGATATGTAGAGACATAGTTGACACATGATTTCAGTGGTTTTCATTAGCTTAATGAGGGCTTCATAACCTCTTGAAGAATAATGTTATTGTGTTGTGTAATCTATCTACGCGAGTTACACTAAATAGGTTGGGGTGGCACGTGACTAGGGTAGGTGTAGTAATCACCAACAGAGGTCAGGGTCATGATTATGTAATGAGGTCAAGTGGCGCACTTAGCGAGGTCAAGTTTTCTGTATACACCAATCGCTCCATCGGTAGGATGTGGGAATAAGCTTACCAATCAAAATATGAAATGCTGCAATCGAACCGTGGAATATCCCAGTTCACTACCATAAGCCCGCTGCTCACCAAAACAAGCAGTATCTGTATATTACAGTAAATGAATGCGCTCGGCCATCGTTGACTCAAGTATGAGGTTTTACCTTCTTTTGGACCGGCGCGTACAGGAATTTACGATGATATCCTTGTTTTGTGATATTTTTAGAACGTGAGGAAGCATTCACATAATTTTGTTCCCGCTTAAGAGGATATTGCATCTGACAAGATATGTATGGTTGTTCCCATGTCTCTATTTGGAATGTAGTGAAGGTTGATGCCTTTGTAGCAGCTGGCCTTTAGTTACCTTAGTAAGGGGCTGAGGTCATATATAGTCTGTACGGAGTACGCTAGTTCACACATATGTACTGTACCTCTGAAATTAGTTCAAGGAGAAAAACATTAAAGCAAAGGAAAAGAAACACTCAAATTGTCTTTAAATTAGTTATTAACTTCGTAGCATTCTATTTGTCAAATATCACGCTACATAATCACTATTCGTTTTTGTCAAGGTACAAATTCCAACCAACCATTTCTACGGTTGGAGAAACAAATTCCACATACCTAGTATTGTCATTTAGTTGATTGAGGAAACGAAACTGTCGTTGCTTTGCCTTGTAATTATTTTCGAGTAAAGTATTAAAAAGGAAACTCTCCCTGACAAATTAGAGGAGTACAATCATTGGGCTTGTGAGGCCAGGGCCTTCCCGGCATATGTCGTTCCATGCGTTAAACTGAACCATCTGTGCCATCTTCTAATGAGAGGCAAGTTTCTGCATGTTACTTTTCCCTATCTCACGGAGCTTCTTCCCATAGATATAGATCTAGATACAACCGGTTAGCACCCCTGTCCCAAATTATGCGATTCAACTAAGGCAGTCAGACCAATGGCAGAAATGGGACACCCAGACCAAGCGATAAGAACGCAAGGAGCCCTGTTCCCCAGTCAACTCCTAAGGTTTGGAAGAGTCGGGAGCCGAAAAGTGGAAATACTGTATATGATCAGTTTCTGGCGGAGCTTTTTGAAAGTGGGTGTGGCTAATATGATGAAACGCAGCTGTCAGGAAGATACCTACCCCCTGCGAAGACGAAACGGAGGAATGACACTGCGAGAGTTTAGTATATTATCTTAAAATAGAAGGGCCTTATCTTACGTGAGGCTACAGCTGAAGCTGGGAAAGAAAAACAGTCAACAATGTAAAGCTGAATTGCGAGCTGTATATCGAAAATCAGCTAGTGTTCCTGTAAGTCGCAGGTCATTGGATTGTTGTGTTGGCCTTACAAATATGTTCATGGCTCCAGCGGCAAATATTACGAAACCAACTAGAGGCTTAAAATCTGTTAGATCATAGAAGAGACACAAGCGGGAAAGCTGACTGGTAAAATAGGGAGAGCTAACAGTGACTAAACAAGCAAGAAGAATTACAAATAATAACTTACCACGATAAAGTGATATTTGAGCGCAGAAAAGCCATATAAGAATAAACCGGCACCTATCAAAAGGGCACCAGGGAATGCAGGAACCAATCTAATATGCCGTACATGTTAGCTGCTATCCAACATGAAGGGTATTAGAGATCAGTCTAGCACCTACCTAGACTCCGGATCGTAGTGCTTGCTGGGGTGCGTTTGGCGTTCATATATAATTTCATGTGCTTTAACCGTCACAATCAGACCTAGCATATTACCTACCCCCTGAGATAGGAGGTCGATGCCAACAAACCCAGCAGAGTGGCCGTAACCTTCCCCGAATATCTCTGGAAACTATAACCACGTATTTGATCAGTTTCGGGCACTTCGAGCAAGTTGAAAGTGAGTGATAGTTTCATACTGTTACTATGAGCAGATACACCTCCCCGAATACGAACGCAAAATATAGGGACAGTAAAAATAGAGCGGGATCGACAAGAAGGTATATCACTAGCAAAGTTAGCATATGCTAAATTTTGTGTCGAAAGATACGTACCGGGGCGAATAGCAGATGAGACAAACCATCCCACCCGGTGAGCGGACAAAGTATTCGGGCGCAATTCGATTACAGTATACAAGTCTCTATCTGGGTATAATCGCTTATTTCTCAGAAGCTTCCGCTCAAGCAGTACTGGAAAATATGACTCTTTCATATAAACAAGAGATATGACTTCTAAAGCTGTGGCAGCCATTGCCTGATGTGGTGATATTTAGTATGAAAACAAAAAAGACAGGAACAAAAGCAAGGATGACATACCGGGACCCAACAAGTCCATCTCCAAGACTCTCGTTCAGATATCCAGCCACCACAGGCAGGGCCAGCAACTGGCCCTAAAATTCTAGAGGGCGTTAGAATGGATACATATATTTGCGTCTAACAGAATGAGGGGAATGTACAGTAAGGTGGACATCAAGGCTGAAGCCTTTGCCCGTTCCTTGAGGTCCCAAATATCAGCAAGTACACCACCGAAAACGGCTAATCCACCAGAACCTCCAACCCCCGCAAAGAAACGACACACTGTAAGTTGAGCTGCCTGTTATCCAATTAGCTAACCTCGATGACAACATGCCCTCGGAGGAAGAACATACATTTTGGGCAAATCCACTCCCTAATGAGAAGGTAATGAACAAGATATTGCATGTACGGACGATAATAGTCCTTCCATATATCTCGCTAAGGGGCGCCGCGAATATCGGACCAAGTGCGAATGCCAGAACGAAAATAGAAACTTGGATGGCACCCAGAGTGGGGTTTTTAATACCAAGATCCGCCATGACTAGGAGGAGGGCCGGCGCAAATATAGTGCCTAGTGTTGTAAGATAAAGGTTCATTTAGTAGAGACATGGTTCCGCTTACTAGCAAACGGAGGTAAAAAGCAGTAGGCTCCCATAAGGGCTGTTGTTGTCCACTTCATCTTCCGGCTCCAACTCTATTCAATGTTAAAGAATGCGGGCCATCATCGAATTCCTAGGAGGTACAAGGGTTATTACCCGCGGGTTTTCTTTCGACTCTGGATTTAGAGTGATAAGATCTTAGGGAACTAGGTTAGTCAAACAGCTAAAGAACAGGCGTAATTTCTGACAACGGGCTTGCATACTAGGATCCAATTCGCGTAAATTCACACCATCATAAAATATTTTATCAGGGTTTGCTTCCCGCAACTTCAATTCTTCCTGGTACCTTTCTGTAACCAGCCTTCTTCGAGGGTGATTGGGTTCATTAGGGAGGTCTAGATGACCGCCAGTCTTAAAAATAGTACTGGGGTTCTGGGGAGAATCCCGCTTTTCCGTTTCTGGACCGATTGACATTGTCATTGTAAAGAAAGCGAAAAACGAAAAGTGGACTAAGCTGGATGTTCTGGATTGAGACCGGGGGAGAACGGTTTATGATGGCTTTAGGAGGCGCAATTGACTATTTATCAGCATTCGGAATGGTGCTTCACGGCACCGCCCACAGCAACCCAAGTGAAGGGTCTGGATTGCGTTCGGCCCACATCCCAAGATAAGGAGCGAATTTGCGACCGATGATGGAAGACATTATGCTGGCAAAACCCCGTCACTTGCCATTCAATAGCAGGGAAGCGGAGTCCTGATTGCACTGTGGGAGTTAGCCACCCGACCATCGGATCTAGTACCACGTCGGTGAGATTATCAGGAGTCTCTGCTCACGCGGCTATTTGATGATTGTGGAACAGTCTAAACCCAGCTCCTGATCTCGGTATACTGAATCATCGTATTGACTGTTATTCGTAGGCCGTTCTCTGCGCATGCTCGCTGTCTCAGACCTGCAATCATGATCTCATTCTGTTAATCATCTGTTCATGTTGAGTGAGTTTCATTTGTTATATCCTTTCCAGCAATGTCATATTGGTGTAACAATTGTCAGTAGGAGTGAAAAAGTCTCAACCCCCTATAAAAAGGACCTTTAAGGTCATGAGGATGCTAGAAAAGTTGTGTGTAAAACCGAGGCGTTAGTAAATTTTGCCAGTATGAGCTTCCGAAGGAGCTTTGATCATACACCACTAGTTATATGGATTTCCCGGAGCTAGTCTCAAATCATGTGATATAAAACCGAGTGGTTGATTTAAGCGCGGCACTAAATTAGCGTGCCAACCTTAAAATGGGTGGCTTCACCCATCCATCCTCCACGTGTGGTTGAGGTTGTTAGGTCCAATCAGCCATGATGAAGGCCACGGTCTGCTTTAAATGACAGTTTTGAGATACATATGCTCGGATGGCACAAAATAGATGTAGAAATTGCCGGACACATAGACCACTCGAATTAGGGTCAGGGGTGTAGATAAGGGTCGACGTCGGAGAATTCATGGGGAGACAGTTGAATGGGCGAGTAGCATGCGATATCTCTATTCCAATCTACCCGGAGTCGGAATAAAAAGGCCCTAGGGAACAGGAGTGTGGACGTCTTAACATTGTTCCAAAATCTGGGCAATACATGCACCCAGTCAATTTCTTCCTACTCTCGATCTTTGAGAATATTGGTCAATTCAAGCTCCCTATGAAGCATGACAACAAAAGCAGCCACAAAGGGAGAAATTGCTGAGGCAGCATTAACTACTGCGTGAACCACTTCGAAAGAAAGGTGAACAATATGCAGGACGAAAGGCCCCAATTGCAATGTTCAACCTCCTTCACAACCTCACTTTGGCTTCCACAGCTAGCTGACATGACATCATATTTCATTCGTTATCGTGTACCTTACTGGATCTCTGAGGAATTTTAGACCTCCTTGCAAACTGCGGTCAGAATCTCGGTCACTGGAATGATCTGACGATTGTTGTCTTTCCTTGTTTGACGTTTGATTCCCTACTACTGCAAAGTTATCTAGTTGCGATCTTGATAAAGAATCATCGCTATTTGACTTTGAGTAGTAGCTGCTCCATTACTTACAAAATCGCTTTGCACGGAATATGTTTTTGAGAGTATAGAGCCAAGTATGGGTTCGATAGATATTGCAATATCTTCGCCCAATTCTCGCTTCTGCCAGTACATATACATAGTTTCTTTCCATCGAGACATGTCTCGAAATAAATGAAGTCACCAATCACCCATTCACCCATTCACCATAAACTATTCAAGTAGCAAGCAAGTTCCTATTTTTAGTTAATGGTGTGCGTATAGTAAGAAATATCCGTATTCAAGACTCGGGAATTTTTGGCGTTCTGGGCTGTTGACGGCCCTTGGACTAGAACTGCAAGTTCCAGAATAGCAGCGCCATAATCGCACCAAGACCCAAGGTCTTAGCGGTTTGGTCGATTGAAAGTGTTGCTCCCACCCCACTGTCGGGAGGAGTATTGTTTGTGGCTGCTGCTGCGCCAATGGGCATCCAGCCGATGCCTGAAGAGTTGGTGCACATATCGGCAGAGAGAAGCTCGACGTCGTCGGCAAAGGTGATATCGGCACACTATCGAAGAGAGGAATTACAGTTAGGTAAGTACCAAGAACGTGTTTCCGCCACTGGCATAAGATGCCATTCTCGTATGAACAAAGTTGAGATGTACGAAAATTAAGTGTACTACACGAGGGAGGAAACCGATGAAAAAGACAGGAAATGATGGCAAAGAAACCATACATTATACAATGCGGACCCCAGTTTCGATAATTGGATAACTTGAACGCTCGCATTGGACCCAGCGGTGATGCCCAACCCTCCTGGAATTTCGATTTTTGGGAAGCAGAATGTGCCATTCCCGGTTTGATTGAACGCGTCAACCAAAGAAATATTGAAGATAACTGACTGGTCAGAACCAAGGCCAAGGTTCACGTAGGTTATGGCCCAGGGGTGGGTAGGATTGAAGAGGAGAGAGCCGCCGTTAACGGGCCATTCCGTTCGGTTGGTTGTCACATTGACACCTCCGCCTACCATCATATTAGAAATATTGGACAAATGGAAATTGAGAAAGGGAACAAGATGATATGGCATCACGGAGAAGTACAGATACGCACATGGTCTCTCCCACTGAGTTGAATAGGAATTACCACGCCAGAAAGGATATTTAACGGAGAAATGAGCAGAGACGAGTTGAAGTAAGAGGGTAAGGGCGAAAATGAAGCGAGTCAGAGACATATTTGCTTTTCTGGCATTAAATGTGGTCGTTGTTTTCTTGGTGCTCGTTTCTGCCTTTCGAACTTGTTAGGAGAATGCCAATTGATGGAGAATGAAGAGAAACTCCTACTGAGCTACGGGTATCCAGCCTTTTAAGTAAGAATGGCAATTTGCAAGATACCCGTACAAAATGGTCGAGGGGTGAGGCGACCTCAAAAAAACAATGCAACGAAGAAGTAAACCGCAGAACAGAGCAAGCCCTACTACAGCCACATCAACAGTTTCAACCTAAGAATTCAAGAATTGAAACTGAAATATGAAGCTAAAATCGCTTCCAACGTCTTTCAAGTTCCATCATTGGTCCAAAGTCCAGGGGAACCAGGATGAAATGTATGCGAGCGACATAGGCTAAGCCATCGGGTGCGACTTGGCAACGCCATGGATGAGGACAATTGAGCACATTTCTAAGGAGATTGTTCAGCATTGGCCAATTGGTGAGGAGCTGGATCATCTATCTTACAGCTGGTATTTGCAGAGGCCGCCTGTAGGAAGCCATGGAAAATATGAATTCAATCTACTTGTCACCCGCACAATTTTGATGGGATCCGGGACGCTGTAGGTCCTGAAGAGGAGATGAAGAAGCAAACAACCCCAGGTGGCCTTTGCTTCGTAGGCGGGATGCTAGTTCGACTTCCTATCCCCTGCCAGACGCTCGGGTGGGCTGTTTGTGCGAAGAGTTGAAGTTCTTCGGCCCCAGGAAAGGAATCCCACGCGAGAAGGTTTGCATCAGAAGACTTTAATCAATCAGATAAGGAACAGGAACAGAAGTTAGAATGCGCGTTCCGATATACCTACCTTACGGGAAGAACATAGGGTTAATTTACGGTGATTCCACCATTCCACCCGTGTCACGTGTCGCTGATTGTAACACATGTTCCACCATTATATTCAGTGACATGTCACTGAATATTAAATGTCAAGATAGTGTTGAGAAAGTGTAGAACTTTGTAACATCATCATAACACTACTCAGTAACTGTGTAATTGACAGATGTTATCATCAGAATACTACTAAGATACTATGAGACACTGTATACTATTCTGTCAGTGAAATCAATACTATTAAGCTAGTTATCTATTACTCAGTATAACAGCTGCTAATCATTAACTATCTACTTAAAGAAATAAGATATCTCAATTGTAATATAAATATCTTATTATCTGAGATTTATATATTAAATAACTGTTATATTTATTACTATTCTGTATTAGAATATTATATAATACTGTCTTTTAAACTGCTGAAAGCTTAATAATAGTGTAATTATTAAAATTTACTTATAAAATTAGTAAATTTAGTAGATAATTCTATATATAATAATATAGATAAATAACTGTAAAGAAAATTCATTTAACTTCTCTTATTTTATAAATAAATATAACTGTAATTTAATTAAGCTCAGCTCTTTAATATTAAATAATATTCTCTTTTATAAGAGAGATTCAGAAAATTGTAAGAATAAGTACTCACAGATAAACTGACCGTGTGACCGTGTCTGAAACCAGGACCAGATTTTTTGAAAGTCTCATTATCAATTTGACTGATTCTATTACACAGTTTTAACATTAGATAGTAGTTTCATACTGTCTTAGTGAGACTTACTGTCTACTCTTATCACATTTTTCAAATGAGATCATAATTTTCACTTCTCAATTTAAATTATTTTTATTACTTTAAATGACTTTAAATCTCATTTAAGTGTTATCAAAAAGTGTTACTTTTTAAAAAATTAAAAATAGTCTAAAAAAAACCTTAAAATGTCTAAAAATAGTAACTTTATGCTAAGAATGAGACTAAATGAGATCAAATGAAACCACTTTCTCATTTTTTTCAAGTCATGATTTCATTTTAAGATCTGATATATAGTCACTTTACATGTTTTTTTAATAGCCAGTCCCAGCAGAATTCATGCTAAGAAATGTATGAGATCAGATCAAATGAGATCAAACATGAAATTCATGATTCCGGCGGCCAGTTTACTCACAGGCAATTATTCAGATATTTACAGCTTGATATAATATATACTAATAGCTACTAGAAGTATTTACAGTGAAAAGAATAATGTAAAGATTAAATATATAATAGTATTTAAGCTGAGTTATAAATAGTAGTTATGAACTTCAGTCTATATAGTTATATATAGTCAAGAGCTGCTAACTCTATTAATTACATAAGACATAGAAATAGAGATAAAGAATCTGTAAGAAGTGAAATTTCTTATATACTTCTCTCTCTTTAAGACTTTATCTATGAAGTCTTTCACTGAGTGATTTCATAGAACTAGACTCAGTACTATAGTAATACTTATTAAAAACTCTTTATATTTATAAAAAATCTCAGTGAGGAAAAATTTCTTATTATTATAAAGAGAAAAGAGTCTGTTACTCAGTTTCTTATTCTATAAGATTCTTTATAATCTACAGATCTTTCTCTAACTATTATATAGATTTATCTCATATCTTTTATATAAGAGAGTTTCAGTTAACTCTTAATTATTTCTATGAGATTCTTATATAATTATTATATAGATTCATTTTATATCTTTCAATCTGAAGGGTTTCAGTTAATCTTTAATTATTTTTTCATTGGATTCTAATATAAGTATTATATAGATTTATTCTACAGATGAATCACTTTCTATGAAATTACTCTTATTAAAGAGAAGTATTTATAAGTAAATCTTTCACTTATTTTTATAAATTATTATTCTTTAACACTGTAGAGTTATAAGAAATTTTTTATTCTTTTATTAACTCTATAGAATTATAGAAGTAAGATATTTATAATCTACAATCACTGTTTATAATTATATAAAAAGATTCAGATATAAAATTTATAATTATACTTTATTTACTAGAGTGATCTGACTATTCTGTAAGATTACTTATAGTATAAATACATCTCTTTAAAGTAGTATAAATATTTCAGATCTGGCTATAAAATTTTATCTTCTTTTCTCTTTTTCTGTAACAGCTTTTATTCTTATAAACTGTAAATATTCTCATTTATCTGAGAAATATTTTTACTCAGATAATAGAGAGAGAGTATTTCTATTAATATTTATATATTAATTCAGAAACTTTCTAAGAATAAAAATTTTTCTAATTTTAATATTTTTATAAATAATGTCTGATTACTGCTGAGCTTCTTGAAAGTATTTCTATAACTTCTTTAATTACTTTCTACTGATTAATAAAGTAAGAGAACTATCACTTATAATAGTATCTGTATCTTTCTCAGTCTTATTATTTTACTCAATCTTCAGATCAGTAATTAACTCTGTATCTCTCTTAGATCAGCTTCTAACTCTTAGTAGTATAGTTCTACTCTTTGATATAAGATTCTCTATAAGTAATTTCTTACAGATTCTAGCTAATAATTTCTGTAAAGATCTTAATACTATCAGTATTCTGTGCAGTCTTACAGATGTATAATTATCTTTCTTCTACTTATATAATCCCTGATCAGATATATACAAATATATCTAGATTCTCTATTAATAATTCTTATATCACAGTGCATTTTCACAATTCTGACATTAACAGAAGATAAGTTCTTAAGTACTTATAAAATTCAGATAATCAAGATAACATAAATGCTATAAATGTATAATAAGAGTTAATCTGAATAGATAAGCTATCTCTTCATATCTTAATAGTTTCTGAGCTGAATACTTTAGTATATTATTATTATTATTATTATTCTTCAATTATAGATGTATACAGTCAGAGATAATGATATCTATCTGAGAATCCTTAATTCTCAGAGTTTTTCCTATATCTATAAAGTCAACTATTATACATTTACGAATTTCAAATATGTAAAATCAGAAAATTCCAGCTCAGAATACAAAAACTGTTTATAAATTACAGTATTTCAACACCTTCTGATACTTTGAAACCATTTGAAAATATCATGACAAAGGAAAAGAGAACATAGTCTTAAAGAAAGACACATTAAATAGATAGATAGAAAAGAACAGAAAGAAACAAGTACAGTAAGAGAGACTATAACAAAATAAAATTATTAAAAGATAGTGTACAGCTGGTTTAACAGACTATATTCAATCAATTTCCACCTCTTCATATTCAGATACTTCTGAATTCAGTTATTTTCTTATAACTGCTTGAGTTTCTGATAGAAAGTTTATTAAGTATTTAATTCATATCTCAGTTGAGAATAAAAACCTCATATTTAATTGATTTAAATTATACTTCTTCTTCAATCTGACTCTGAGACTATTGTATAATGCACAATGTATTACAATATACTCAGAATTCTCATTTGCACTGCAGAATGAGCACTCTGTTGAATCAAATCTATCATCAAATCATTGTATATAGAATTTGAAATAATCATGTTCTAGTTTCAGCTGAATTATAGATGAGAATATTTTCTTTTTATATTTAATTGAACAAGATTTTCACTTTGATTTTGTCTTAAATCTTGAATAATGTATACTCTTCTTTTATTTCTGCCAGCTTTCATTTTACTTATTTAAACAATATTCTTTTATCTTTCTCTTTATGAAAGACCAGAACACTGTTTTTTAAATAGATTTGCTTAATTCTGAACTCTTTTTTACAGCTGAATCAGTCAATTCATTGCTATGAATATTGTAAGAAATCCTGCTTCTTACGGATTCTTTACCTCTATTTCTATCTCTCGCGTAATCAATAGGGTTAGCGGCCCTTGGCTACACATAACTATATAGACTGAAGTTCATGAATACTATTCATAACTTAGCTTGAATACTATTATATATTTAATCTCTACATTTTATCTTTCTATTATAAATACTTCTAGTAGTTAACAGTATATATCATATCAAGCTGCAAACATCTGAATAATTGTCTGTGAGCACTTATTCTTACATTTTAAGCTCTGTCAGTCAGTAATTATCTGTTATAACTGAAAGAACTAGAAACTTATATACTTCAACTTCTGCAAACTCTACTATAGATACTTAGAAGCAGTCATCTGAATCATGAATAATCTTTATAAAAGAAGTCTTAAAGAACTTATTAATTACTTACAGAATATCATTCTCTATATCTATGACAGAAAAACTCTTCAAACTTATAAATAAATTAATCTCAGTGAAGAATATTCTTGAGTATCTCTTATAAGATTAAGCTATTTTTCTATAAGAAATACTTACTGTCTGTAAACACTCTTGAACTGAGTCTTTAGATATGATCTTTAGAAACATCTATAAATTGAAAAGAAACTTTCTTAAGCTATAATCACTTACAACTATCTACTGAATCACAATTTATAAAAGCTTTTATAAGTTTGTATTTAAAATTAACTTACAAGTCTGACTATGTAATATGAAAGATGAAGAAGCTATTATCTATATAATAATAGATCTTTACTACACTGAAGTGAAGAACTGACTGAAGTATTTAAAGAATAATTATAAGAGATCTTACTAATCTGTTCTTAAGATCTATCTAGAGAATAAGTTGAAAGACTCTGTAAGCTGAACAGAGAATATCTGAACTGTAATCATTAATATTAGAAAAAGAGATGAGAAATCTGATAAAGATTACTTATAGCACTTTATAAAATTATAATGTGAATTAAGATCTGTGAAAACAGAGCTCTGAAACAAGACCTGAATAATAATATTTATAAAGAGAGTGAATAAAGATATATAGAATAAGCTTATTAAGTAAGACTCTAAGTTCTTAATTCTGAAGAAACTAATAACTCTTATTTACTGCTTATAAATCACTGTAAGAGTCATAGATTTATAGAGAGTAAATGATCAATCAGTCTTATAAAAGTCAGAACTTTAGAGAATAGACTTACTGAAAAAAGATAATAAGATATAGAGAGGTACATATCTGACTACTAAGTAGAAAGAGAGAGCTTTAT